TCCATTTATTATCTAGTGTGACAGACCCAGAGCAGTGGGGTACAGGACTCTGGTAGAGGGCAAATATACTGGTCACTGGATGAGTAGTTTTCTGTTCCCTGAGTGACCAGAGCAGGGGCTGCACTAGAGTAATCAGGAACCTGCTAGAACCAGTTAAGGCAGGCAGGCTAATTAGAACACCTGGAGCCAATTAAGAAGAAGCTGCTAGAATCAATTAAGGCAGGCTAATCAGGGCACCTGGGTTTTAAAAGGAGCTCACTTCAGTTTGTGGTGGGAGTGTGAGGAGCTGGGAGCAAGAGGCGCAAGGAGCTGAGAGTGAGAGGGAGAGGGTGTGCTGCTGGAGGACTGAGGAGCACAAGCATTATCAGACACCAGGAGGAAGGTCCTGTGGTGAGAATAAGGAAGGTGTTTGGAGGAGGCCATGGGGAAGTAGCCCAGGGAGTTGTAGCTGTCATGCAGCTGTTATTTCCAACTCTGGGCTGGAACCCGGAGTAGAGGGCGGGCCCGGGTTCCCCCCAAACCTCCCAATTGACCTGGACTGTGGGTTCTTCCAGAGGGGAAGGTCTCTGGGCTGTTCCCCAACCCACATGGTGAATCTCTGAGGCAAGAAAATCCGCCAATAAGCGCAGGACCCACGAAGATATAGGAGGAACTTTGTCACACTAGATTCTCCCACACATCCCTGGGGCACTTGCACTTGACCAGGATGTGAACGTCCTTCCTATGGAGGCCATGTATTTCTGTCAGGCCATCCAGCTTGTCCCAGAACTCAGTATTCTTGTTATCACACTTGAGTTCGGGTAAATCAGACAGTAGTTCCTGTTTTTCCTGCGGGTGAAGGGACGGTAAATTTCAGTTGTTTCTGTTCTAAGTCCCCTTACTGGCTCACCCTCCGCATTAACGTTTCTGAACCTCCTTAACTGTGTTTTGATTGGAGCCATACGCTGTACTTGCTCCCCTGGGGCAATTAATGCTTGTGATGCTCCTTTATTATCTCTGTGGGTGCTTTAATTTGGCCTGTCATTCGAAGAAATGTATGGAGGGGGTTCTGATTCCTCCCCTCTGCTTTGTGCTGCTGAGTTTTTCCACAGATAGTTAATCGGCGGAGCGGTGGGCTGGCAAATGCCAGGAGTTTGCTCTCCCCCTCCCAATCTGGAGGTGTGTCCCAGACATGATGATTCTTTTTCTGTGGGATCTTTTCCAATTTCCAGACAGTTACATATTTCAGAACATAGGCTCTTATCTCTCAGAGCCTGGTTTTGAGATCTTAACGTTGCAATTTCTTTCTCCTTTATGTTAAGAATATTCAATAAAACTATTACCGCTTTGTCTGTTTTGTCACTTCTCTGATGATTCCACCAAGTAACCAGATCTGCCTCTGGTCCGGCAGCAGAGTAGTTTGCTTTTTTAGCTGCTGCCTGCCGAGTTTTGACATGTTTATATTCCAAGTACTCTCGAGGACTGATTATTACCTCTCCTTTTGACGCCATGGGTTTTTCGTCACCCCGGCTGCTGACCTTGAAGGGAACTTGCGTCTTCCCCTGCTAAATGCTTGTCAGCCTTTATGAGGAGTTACTTTTCCCCCTTTTTATGGTATGGTTTCAACTCTCCACACCCTTGAATTTCATGAGGACGTCTCCCCACTCTTAATACCGTGCGTGTCTTCAGTTACACACACATGCCGGACTTATTGGTTGGAGACTTTGTGCTATTCGAAAGCATGTACGTCACATGCCTGGGGGGGGGGGGCACTCCCCTAGGACTTGCAATGTTACGTGCAATGAGGAAATGGACCACCAGTTTGCACTGCCTACCGCTTGCGTACCCAGCCAATCCTGGGCTTAACTCACGGCCAATCGCTTGCTGGTGGGTTATCCAAGTCCTCCGTAACACACCCCTTAGTTGTTTAAACAGTACATGATCCTCTTGCACAAGTCTTCCCTCCCAAGTGGTACCCTTATTCAACCCCTCTGCTTGGACTACACGTGTCTAAGGTCCTTCACACAAATTAAAAAGGAAACAAGATGTGTCTGAAAGGGGATGAGAGACTTCTATCCCTGGCCTAATGAGGTGGTAAAGTAAACATACTCACCTCTTTTGGATTTCAGTCTCAGATCCTCAGCCAGTTCACAAACTCGTATCCCTGACGAGCCCCCAAACTGAAGGACATAAATCCACACCGTGTAGAGGTCAAAACATAGGGGTTTATTACACACAGCGCTGGCGAAGTGTCACCTGGCTTATTAGGCTCAGAGACACTGTCAATCAATTGATTACAATAGAATATATAGATTTTCCATGGGCGGGGGAAGGTGACGGGGTAAGCAGTTCCACACCCCGGGATAGATTTTGCAGCAAGACAAGATAGCACATAGCCAATGGTTAAAAGGTTACACAATGTCTCCGCCCATGGTCTCAAGTTAGCAAGTTAACATTTAATTAATACTTTGTTAAAATGTTATTAGTATAAAATATATATGTTGAATTCTGATTTGGGGTCCATAGGAACGGAGCAACTCCTTTGATTGTCCAACAGATACATTCCTAGGGGTTAAAGCAAAGAAACAGTGAAAGCATATGGAAATAGAGATTGTCTCCTTTATGTCTTAAGACAGGGCACTGGTCCCTTGGAAGGGAGGTGGAAGGATGCCATATCATTATAGTGACATGTGCCAATTTTCATAAACTCAAGGTTGGATCTGTGGGAAGACTGTTTTCCCTTGAGGAGAAACACAATAGGAACAGGGATCCTTTGTTCAATTTGAAACATTGGATGAAACATAATTATTCAGTTATTGCCTCAACATCTGGCATTTTTACTGACCAAGCATATCTTAGCAAAAGCAATGTTGTCTTGTTTATTCTGCTTTCTCTTAGCTGATCACTATTAGCTAGGCCTCTGGTCTCTTAACCAAACTCTGGACTTTGGGTCTGGAAAAGAGCTGGCACAATCCATATACCAGGTTGTTATATAAAATGCACATGGATTTTAACCCTTCATTAGGGATGAAAAGAAATGATTTATGGTATATCAAGAAACATACTTTCATTTCTCTAGGCAGATTGCGAAAGATGGTTTGTAATCCTTCCCTGCCCAAGGCCATGAAAGGCAACTCTGCTGGCCTGCCAAGAGATGCTGAAGCATGTGTGTTGATATAAATCGTGTCACAGAACATTTGGTATACACAGTACATTCATATATCAATAACATCATCCAAACAGATGGAGTATACAATTATCATTTTTATGAGTAATGCCTGATGATCAAAACGCAGATTAAACCAACTCTGTGTAGATCTGAAATACCCACTTCTTGCCTGAAAATGACCCAAATTCGCACACAAAAAATATACTTGCTATTTTGTAAAATCTCCCACGTAGTCACCAAATGGCAGGGTGTCGTGAAAGAGACACAGCAAAGCGTCACCCAAACAGCAAATAATGCATTGAATTGGTTACAAATGCTGCTTCCTTTCCCTTTTTTTATTTAATAAAATGAGGTCTGATGCTGAGAGCTACTGAGCATCACCTACAACATACTGATGAGCCCAACCAATTTCTATTGAAGTGAATGGGAATATTGCACTCAGATAATATGGCATAGTCTAAGAACCTAAATAGATCAGAATAGATTAAAGCAAATGGTTTCAACAGACAATCTGAGACCATTCCCATGATCCAGTCCTATCCCTTTAGATTCTGTGATTTCAAATCCAGTAAACTGCAGTGATATGATCTCAATCAAGAATAAAAATATTGGTCTGATCACGCTCCCTTTGAAGTAAATGGGAAAAGTAATAATGATTTCAGTAGGAGCTCAATCAGAACTGTAATAGACCAAAGGGCACAAAATGGGAATGAATTAACCATTTCAGAAAAACAGAACAAAAACAAACTTTTGCCACCATGAACACTTACCCACTTCTAGAGCCAACTTCTAGAATCAACCTTAAACTGAACTTTATGGAAGGATGTGAAATTATCACTTAACCTTTCCAAAACCTAATTTTATTTTCACACACTTCTTTCCTTCTAGGCTTAGATGAGGGTTGGAACTCCAAAAACATTTTTATAAAGACTGTTCCTGAAAAATATCCAGAGGCACACAACCCTGATCGGTACCATTGGCTCACTAAAATGCAAGATACCAGAACCCTGACAGGAAAATCAGTTTTCAAGAGATATCTAGCCAGTTATTGAAGTCTGAATGGATTTGGATAGCATAGCAAAGTTTCCAAGTTTTCAGTTTTCATGATTAAACCCAAACTCCAAGCCTCACTGAAACCATAACTCCAAACCTTGTGACAATTATCCATCACTAATAAAAAGTTATTAAAAGTGATTTAGACAAACACTGCAAAAGCACTATGCAGACAATCTTAATTAAAATCCAGTGGTATTTTGCACTGGCCAAACCCTGAGGTCTCTCCATTCTTTTTACACAGTCTTTATATAACAACTGCATGGTTGTCACCAGAGATTTGAGCCCTGGAACTCCAGAAATAAATCACAAGCCTCTACAGCTTGGTCCTAAAGAACCAAATCCCACAGCTGGCAGCAGCAGCAAACTCACAGCCTCAGTGGATTAGGTACAAAGGGTAAAGAAAACTCATCCTAAGCAGCTGCAGCCCTTGGCAGTTCTAATCCCAGACAAGCTCCCATTTTTGGCCATCATGGTCATCATTGGGGACTGAACTTGGTACCTCCAGCATTAACAGCCTGCTGCACTACAGTTTCAACAAAAGCCCCTCAGCTGGAAGCAGACATATCTGCTCTCTGTGTATCAGACCCATTTGGGGTTGCATAACACACTGAAGAGTAACAAGGCAAACTCCTGCTGAAGTGAATGAGAGTTTGCCTGAGAAAAGACATCAGGATTTGATTCCATTGAAATAACCTTTTCAAATATAAGCTTTGAGATTCAAATTGAAACACAGTGCTACTATCAGGAAAGTGTGCTTGTATTGAGCAGTATACTCTCATATTTACCAAATGTTTACCTGTCATTTCCAGGACTTTGGGAAAAAATACATTCCAGAATCGACACTGGTGGGCACGTAATTTTGTATATATCTTTGAAGCTTCAGTGTTTAATGTTAAGTATTTTTGTTCAGTGGTAGTGAAGATTGGCCATCTGGTTCCATTAATCTGAGTCCCATTTGGAGTTCTAAATGATTAAAGAGAAATATTTCATTTCTCATGGGAAATTACCTGTGCACATCAATAGAATAAAATTATACTATTGACAAGTTATTTTATTTCAGACATCAGTATGTTAGTTTGGAATTATTGGAGCACCTTTTGTACATGATAGAAATAAAACCACCACCCAAAACAGTAAAACTTTAATTTTTTCGTATCACTAAGGTTAATTAACAAAAGTCAAACTAAATATATTCAGATTAGTTTTTGTTTTTTTCTTATCCTAAAGGAAAAATGAAGTTAATAAAACCAACCTACATAAATTGCATATGTTGAACCCAGAAAGTCTGATAGAAGATACAATCTGTTACAGATGACCCCAAAACAGTAAAGTTAGGAGCTTGCATTACATATATTTTAATTTAAATGCTAACGTCTAATTCTAATATGAGTCCATTGGATTGCATTGTTCAGGTAGCTATGAAGGGTCTACAAATAAAGGTTTACATCTGTGTAAATAAAGTGACTGGAGTCCACCGTGGTTAAAGCAAGGTCCAAGAGAAGAAGATAATGTCTTTTGTATTAGAAGAAAAGGCCCTTAACTACAATGTGCTAAATACCCGCACTGTGTTACTGAGCACACTGAATCACAACTCATTATGAAAGCAATGAGAATTAAAGGGTGCTGAGCATCTAGTAGGATGTGATTAGCTTCCAACAGGAACAGGACCATGATTATTATTAGTTGTAGTGGTGGTAAATATTATAATAGGCCCAAGAGATAAACTGAATTTAAGACAGGGATATGGTTTTAGGGCCATAAAGATTTTTATCCATTTTTTTCCAGAGAGGGGTGAGTTTTATTGTGTGGGAACAGATAGGACTTGATGAAAAAGAAGTTGGTTTAAGTTGTAGAAGAGAGGAAGTCTTAAAATCATTTATTGGTGCAGGAGGCCTTTGAGATAGAGTATGATTTATATAAAGACTGGATGATTTGTGACTATTAAATGGCAAGGCTATGGAAGCTTAGACAGGGTGGAAAAAAGGGTAATTAAACATCCTACTTCAGAGCTTAAAGAAGGAAAACACTTTTGCTTTCCTTGCTGGAGACTGCTGCCTAGGAGTCTGAAGTGTCTTCACCTCAGGTAGTTAGTACAATGGTGAAACACTGGACAGTAGCCTTTCCCGTCCTGCTGATGCATTATGTACACAGGACAGTCTCCTGCCTCCACATCAGAAGTCTTTTTCATGGTCTGAGGGCAATTCCAACCACATGCAGCTTCCTGAATAGCTGTTGAGGAGGAGGAGTGGCATTCAACATGGAAAAGTAAATAAGAGGAGTACATGGCTCAGGCCATAAGTGACCTCTTTCAGAGGACAAAAATAAGAAGAGAATCCCAAAGGGTATGGGATTCAGATGGGATCTACTTACCAGTGATGGGGATGGGGTGGTTGGAGGATAAGTAATAATCATATTCAATTATCTAAATATTGCTAGAACATCAGGCCTATTCTCTATATTCTGAATGAACCTAGTTATTGGCCCATCTCTAATGTTTTGCTTTATTTTAAAGCATCGGGTACTAGCCACTGGTGGAGACAGGAAATTAGACTAAAAGATCCATTAATCTGATCTGGCATGGCAATTTCTATGTTCCTAACTTGCTCACTTCTTTACTAATTCCGCTCTTATTAACTTATGGAACCCTTTTAACTGCACATTTATTTGTGGCTTCTGAAAACAATGATTTAAACAGAGCTGACTTGTACTTCAGTTCAAAATCAGAGCACTAATAGTGCTGTCAGTATTCATTTAATAGCCTTTATGCTATAAAATAAATCATGACATTCCAAATTGTAATTTACAGATAATAAGGAGGTTTATGCCTATGAATGCAGATATACTTTACTAAAAATAATTGAAAACATGATCAGATTAATACAGTATATTGCCATACCAGAACATGCTTATTATAACATTCTCTCTACATTGCTAGAGCACTTACCATCTTAACTAGAAATGTACTGTATCTCCCTTCTTACCGAAAACTTCCAGAAATTAAAAAACAGTTCCCAGATACAACAATACAAAGAGACCACAGGATTATAATAATTTTTAAATTTGTAACAATTGTTTAGGTTTGTAATCTATCTGCACACATCACACCTATGTTTCATTCCTTCTTGTTAATAATGTTGCCATGAGCATTGTAACTCCCAATATAATCTGGGAAATTCCATGGTTTATGGAGTTAATACAAATACAAATTAACTGTATTAAGATAATGTTATGATTGCATGGGGAAGAACTCAAGTGCCAAGCAATGACAAAAATGAGGTTGCATGCACAGCCTGAACTCTGCTCCCTTGTGGAAGCAGAGATCCATGTAACTGGTGAGAGCCTGGTCCTGCTGAAAATTTTCTGTGTAGGACTCATCGTGATCCGTGGAAACCTGACTCCAGTTTCAATGGCTGCCTATCTCCAAAGTCTCCTCTTCACCATCTTCCCAAAACTCCCACTCCCTAGTCAACACCAATTCCTGAGAAATTCCAGATGTGTCTTCCCCAGGAAACTCCACAGTTTGCCCACATACTAATGAGCAAAGGAAGGGAGAAACCACTCCTATGCTCATGGGCGGCAGGTGAACCGCAGGCTCTGGGAGACTAGCCCCCAATGCGCACTCCTTCTGCCAGAAACCCCACCCCTTCCAGGTCCCCTGCCGGAGCCCAGAGCCCCCCCACTGCAACCGCTGCCCCCCATCCCAGGCAAGCGCCTCCAGCCCCCCAAGGCCTGGAGTGCTAGGAGACTGGGCAGTGTGGCCCCAGTCCCCCAAGCTCCGGAGCACCTGGAGGCCAGGCAGTGCAGAACAAATCATGCCAGACCAACCTAATTTTTTTTTGGACAGGGTTACTGACTTTTGGCTAGGGGAGAAACTGTAAATGTGATAAATCTTGATTTTAGTAAGGCTTTTGACATGACATTCTCATAAGAAAACTAGAGAAATGTGACCTAGATGAAAATACTATAAGGTGTGTGTAAAACTGGTTTAAAGACCATACTCAAAGAGTAGTTATCAATGGTTTGTTGTCAGTCTAGGGGGGCATATCTAGTGAGCACCTGCAGGGGTCAGTCCTGGGTCTGGTACTATAAAATATTTTAATTAATGGCTTGGATAATGGAATGGAGAATATTCTTATAAAATGTGTGGATGACACCAAGCCGGGAGGGGCTGCCAGCACTTTGGAGTACAGGATAAGAATTCAAAACAACCTTGAGAAATTGGAGAATTGGTTTGAATTCAACAAAATGACATTCAGTAAAGACAAGTGCAAAGTACTATGCTTAGGAATTAAAAATCAAATGCACAACTACAAAATGGGGAATAACTGACTAGTCAGAAAAAGATATGCGGGGGTGTAGTGAATCAGAGGTTGAATATGAGTCAACAATGTGATGCAGTGGCAAAAAAGGCTAAATCATTCTGGGGTGTATTAATTGCAGTATTGTACGTAAGGTATGGTAGGTAATTGTCCCATTCTATTCAACACTGGTGAGGCATAAGCTGGGGTACTGTGTCCAGTTCTGGGCACCACACTTTAAGAAAGATGTGGACTAACTGGAGAGAGTCCAGAGGACAGCATGAAAAATGAGGAAAGGTTTGAAAACCTGACCTATGAGGAAAGGTTAAAAAAACTGAGCATATTCAGTCTTGAGAAGAAGATTGAGGGGAGACTTAGTAACAGTCTTCAAATATGTGTTATAAAGAGGAAGATGATCAATCGTTCTCCATGCCCACTTTAAATAGGACAAGAAGTAATGGCCTTAATCTGCAGCAAGGGAGATTTAGGTTAGATATTAGGAAAAACTTTCTAACAATAAGGACATTTAAGCATGCAATAGGTGGCCAAAGGAGGTTGTGGAATCCCCATCACTAGAGATTTTTAAGAACAGGTTAGACAAACACCTGTCAGGGATGGTCTAGGTGTACATGGTCCTGCCTTAGCCCAGAGGGCTGACTAGATGTCTTCTTGAGGTCCCTTCCAGCCCTAAATTTCTATTATTCTATTTTCCATTACATCTTTTTGTCTAAGAAAATGTTCTGAAACCATGCAGAGCTTCTCCGGGTTCTGACTGTGGCACAGCATCCTGTCATTCATGGACACTTATATGTTTCATGATGATAAGTCCTTAAACATGAGGCAGCCAAACTTATTTCCTGGTCTCCTCAACATTACATTGATGAAAGGGAAACTGTTCTTTAGATTTGATCTCCATTTTGAGTTGCATGACTGGAGCCAAGTAATTCAGGTGTCTCAGCCAACTTAGTAGGATCAGTTTCAGACAAAAATAGAGCCAAAATCTCATCAACATGTTGTGTCCACCTCACACAATGTGTGCAAACATCAGGGCAAAGCTAGATTGTATTAAAGTCACATTCCCATATTTCATATATAGAGTACACATACAGGCCCTATTCTGCCTTTGAACATATACGTGATCCCACTGAAGTCTGTGGGCTTGATTTTAATCTCAGTCTCACTGGACTAATAGCAGAATAGCTATATTGAAGTCACAGGAGCTAGACTAGAATTACATCAGTGTAACTGAGATCAGAATCTGACCCTTTGGACATTATATATCCGTTAATTGGCAGCAAAATTTGCCCCTCAGGGTTCATGCATCATAAAACATGGCAGATTTGGCTTACAGAGGGAACTTTTAGAAAGCTATACAATTTTAACAGGGGTTGTTCATTGATAATTTCTGTATATTCCATGCTCATATGTAGTAGGCCTAGCCAAAAAATAAGAATTCCTTTTTGCAACAAATTCTGAGGTTTCAGAATTGGTTTTCATTCTACTTGGAACCAAACAGGACATCTTTCAGAATTTTTGGAGAGGAAGAACTAATAGCCAATACTCCATGGTTAGGCCATTGCATGGGATGTGGGAGGTCAAGGTTTAAGTACCTGCTCTTCCTGATTCAGGGCAGGGACTTGAACCAAAATCTCCCACATCCCAAGG